AGGAAGGGGGAGGGGGTGAGTTTTTAAGGGTAAAAAATGGTTAATCTCGATTTCCGGTAAAACTGCAAGTTTTACCGGAAATCGAGATTAACCAGTGTATATATTTTTTATACCATCAGAAAGTAGAGATTTCAACAAACAAAAAACACCCCAACTTTTTTAAAAAAGCAGATATTTTGACGTGAGAATTTTCGATTGAAAATAAGGGTGCTTTTTCGATATTAAGTCAAAATAAGGTGAAAAAATGAATATTTTAAATCAAAAAAATTACTGTATGTTTGGTAAGTTTTCACCAAATTTCGTGAAAAAATATTTATTTTTGCAAAAAATAAAAATCAAAAACCAAAAACTCGGTTATTCGCATTTTTCACATAAATTTTGAGGTAATGTGAAAAAAGTGTCGCTACAAAAGTTGTAGATCTTTTTATTGCCTACAACTTTGCCATTTAATTTTTTTTCATAGGACTTGCAGTTTTACCGGAAATCGAGATTAACCATTTTTACCCTTAAAAACTCACCCGCTCCCCCTTCCCGACCTCAGATCGCCCGTAATTTATTTTTCCTTTCATTTTTGTTATATTCTCTACCTTTTCTAATGGGTTTCATCCAACTATAATTTTTTTTGGTCTCAAAAATTATCGACCCTGGTCTAATATTACAACGTAACTCCGACAAATTTATTATGATCAATTATTTTACTTCTTCAATGCAGGTAGCTTAAGTTATCTACTCGATATGATATGCTAGTACAAGTAAATATCGCCGTACTGTGAGAAAAGATCAGATGTGCCGGGGTTAGACCAGCAATTTACGCCAACGCGTCGGGTTGTAAATCAAATTAAACGCCATTTACAGTCCGATCTGATACATGTTACTGATACAGAGTAATAGGGTTGTCAGGTAGAGTGAAAAACATATATTTGAGGGCAGTCATACTTATCAATAATATTAACTTTATCCCGATAATGTTACCCCGGACGTTTCCTACGCCCTAAACATAGATTAAAATTTTAGTGTTACCTTCAATTTTCCTATACGTACTAGTATATCGTTATTTAACAAAGCTTTAAACAAGACAATTGAAAGTAGGTACATAGATTTCACAACATAAACTCTTTACATAGTAAAAAAACGACGGGTTGCACTCCGAGAGTGCCGGCAGAAATGAAAACTTGAATATTAACGTTGTGCATTTTTGATATTTTGGAATGGTTAGGGAATATTTATGCACGAATTGCTTTAATTATCAGTAAAAGTACTATCATGTATGTGGTAGAATACAATATTTATTTATTGCGCCATCGTACACAAACATGACAATTTATATTACATTAAAAAAGTTTATCTCTCAGAAAAATCAACTTACATGAATCACGTTTAAGCGCACTTAGCAACATCTATTGTAAAGAAATCAACTTACACGAATCACATTTAAGCGCACCTAGCGACATCTATTGTAAAAAAATGCATTTTCTTCGCAATAAAGCTGCCACATGGACGTCCTAGATAGAAACTTATTATTATAATACGATAAAATAAAATATTACTATGTTTCGTCCAATATATTGAAAGACAACAATCTTTCCAATTTTATTGTGTGTCGTGATGCAATCAGCCCTCGTGTTTAACCTGACGCGAGTTTAACATTTTTTACCCATACAGAAAAAGTGTACAACGCCGCTAAAGAAGTTTTCACTTCAAAAATGGTATTGATTGACAAAGTTCATGGTCCAACAACATAATGATTTACAGATCTACTTAAACATACATACTTCGGATTGAATAATTTTTAACAAGAGATGAAAAGTAGAATCTACCCTTCTTGCTAAAAATCGAGATCAAGGCCGCGTTGTTTCATCTATAATTAAATTTGACTATAGTTAATGTCAAGTAGTAAAATGTAGCCAATTTTGAAAAATGGTTACATTTTTTAATAGTATTTCAATCTATAATTACATTTAACTATGGAGGAACCAACGCAGCCTTACTTATAATAAAAAAAACACATTGTATATAAATAAAGAGAAAAAGGTCTTCCTATATACTTTATCGACTTTTTAATGCATGAAAAGAAAATGTATAGGTAAATGTTCAAATCGACAGCCCTTGTTTAATGTTCGTGAAAGTACAGGCGCGCCCATCTTACCCGTCAAAATAATACCTTCAACTGCCGTTTATACCTTTATTATGTTTATGCAGAAACTTATTTCTTGCAAGCTATATGAAACCCTGCTAAACTTGTAGATAGACCTTACCATTCAACCTTTCTTAGTTACCTCATTTAATACTTTATGCGTTTGGACATCCTAATCCGCCCAAAGTACCAAACAAATTATTAAAACGTAAATTCTAAACCGTATTCGCTGCCAATACAATTACTATACACGTTGGGAAATAAACTATTTTGATATTACATATAATTGTAAAGAATGTGAGCTCTAGGAAACCGAAATCTATCACAATCATTAAAACTATAATAACTCGTATCAGGTATGACTTTATATGTTGAGATATATATTAATTTATTTTAGTTAATGAATACTTTAACACCGCTAACAGTGTACTATTGCGTCTTTACATTTAGAGTATATTTATTCTGCCAGTGCTAACAAGAATATTTCTCTAGCCATGTGACAAAAGTGATGTAACAATAAAAAAGCATTCATCTACTTAATTGCCACTTTAAATAGATAATTTGTATGCACTAAAGTACATAGTTTTGAGGCTAATAATAGTGGGATCTGTTGCATAAGCCAACCTAGTCTCAGATTCAGTTCTAGACAATGTTGAAATTGGTCGTAGAATGATGGGAACAGTGCAGATGCAGTGTTCTTCAGAAAATATATTGATGATACTGTTCTGTTTTTTTAAATGCTTATAGAATAAAGATGTTTTGGTAAGTCCCTACCTGTTTAGCATTGAAATAATAACTTTGAGAATTTAAGTTATTCTATTTCTTTATTTATTGCAATAACATGTTGAATATGAACTACATATATTGAAATGGTTGATAGTACACAAAATTTAGATCTTATCTACATTCCAGAAACTTTTCTTAACGAGAACTTTGAGTGAAAAGATAATAATCACATTGAAGTCACAATTAAAACAAAAATCAAACAGAATCACAATAATAATAATAAGAAACTTTTACATATTCCAATTTAATTTGATTTAAAACAGTCGCTTAAAGAGTTAATTGTGGAGGAACTAATGAGCCCCAGAAAGGCAAGAGTTATTATGAAAACTCGACGTTTCATGTTTTGAGAAGGTAGTTATTATCATTCTTATGAAGCAATGAATTGTGAAGCAAGAATGAGATCATTGTCTCGAGACGTCCTTTCATGACAATATAATATTGATTATGGTTGGAAATGGAAAACTTCGAGAAGAATGTAACCATTTGGTCGGCTCGGAATCACCCGATAAATCAATTGAGTTCTTACAACAAAAATCTTAGACGCTTAATAAGTTTTATATTTACTAGAGACGTCAATTTTAGGAAAGACACTCGTTATATAACATCACGATCATAATTTTATTTTTATTTTTATTTTTTATTTATTTTCCTTATAGTAATTTTGAGTGCTAGAAAATTTAATCTATAATAGCACTCTAAACAAATCATTTAGGTGTTCAATTCGAAATCTTCATTCGAAACCAATTAGCACGCGTGATCTTATATAATACTTTAATGTCTAAATGCCTTTAAAATATTTTTTAGTAATTCTATCGGTCGCATTCAAGGCCTTGAATCTTAAATGATTCATTAGGTGAAGTGTTGTGTTATTCAAATTGTTATCACAAGAAAAAAGTAACAGCAGCAACTTAAAATTTAAGACCTTTCCTGGTGCGGCAATAGTATATTTGGTACAGAGCGATAACTTAAGGTATTTTTGATATTATTAAATTTGTAGTTCATTGACACTGGCCGAGATCGTAAGTAATTCACTTTCTTTAGACACACCTATTGTTTGTTTTATGCTGACCGCGAGAATGACTCACTCGACAACTATTTTTATATTGGTAAAATAGCGAATAGTTTATTTTTTATGCAAATAAAAATTGGGACGTTGAACTTGTCGTAAGTATTGTATAATTACGTTTCTTCTTGGGAATTTCAATTTAATCAGACGTGGAACCGATATTGGATAATACGATATGGTCACAGTAAATTTTACTTTTGCGATTCGCTACAGGAAAAGATCGTATGAGAGTGTTGTCAACTCCGTTTTTATCAACCCAGCTATAGGTACCTATATCAACGAATACCATTGTCACGGTCTGATTCGATAAAGCGTAACTAACACTTAGTGCCTTTCCGAGTAATGGAGACTGACTCAGGTACCTTTATCAGAGGTCCTATACTAATAAATAAATACCTAGTCAATATACTTTGTGTTAAGGTCTTTTTAGAACGAAACACCGCAACGCAGTTAAATGGATAAACATCGAAAAAAATCACAATATTCCTAACGTTCCAACGCAAAGTCAGGGCATTATTCAATGAGGCTAAATAATGGCAATGTGCGATGTAGGTGAAAAGAATGCATGAACTGCATATGATGTTTCTTCACATTTCCAAAACCGAAGCTTCAACTTTGATGCTCTATCAATCTGAGGCAAATTTTACAGTTCAGGGCACGGACCTTTAATATTTGGCGCCCTATAAAGTACTGAAATAAAAATATTCGCCGCGGGTGAATGCCCTTTTAGCCCTATGGTAAATACGCCACTGCTGTATGAGTATATATTTAAGAGAGATAGCGGATTTCGGAAGTAACCTCTTTACATAAGACCACAGAAAAATAACACAACCTTTTGGTGGTGTTGTGTTTTTGTCTGTAAGGTTCCAGTTCTCCACGGGGTAGGGGATTGGATCAGGGTGGAAAATGGCAAGAGATATTTTTTTATCGCTAGCGTCTATAGGCTATGTTGGCCGCTTACCATCAGACAGACATCACACCATTTTTTGATATAAAAAAATGTGCTGTACTCACCACCAACTCGGCGAATTTGGCGTCCAACTCGTCTTGGGGCGGCATGGGGTGCGTGGGTGTGACGGCCTGCAGGGCCAACCCACCCTCGCCGCCCACCACGCAGTAAGTGATCTCGGGCGGTTCGTCATTCTGAAACAATACATATTCATGTTACAAAGATAAGTATAATCTTCTTAAAGACCTTGGCCTATCGAAAACTGCAGTAAGTTCAATTTTGGAACGAATAACTAACCTATAACCTATCAAATTTGGCTAGAAAGAGCGGACACCTCGAGCAGTGAAGGCGAGCGTTGATCCGTATCTCAAAGGGGGCCTCCATAAAAATCTACACCTGGGTCGCAAGTCCCGGGAACTGCTCGGAGTTCCTCTTCCTGCTAAACGATGGAATCGGCACCCGCACGCTGAATCCATGGATTGCTAACAAGTTTGTCTCTCTCTCCATTCTAAGTTCTCAATACTCGAGAAAGAAAGTAATATGGGAAAGAATTCTCCAATTGTAAATGTATTCGTGTCCATGGTAAAATATTTATTCCATTTTTCCTTGTGATCCTTTACTTCTTACATACAACGAAAACAAGCTACAAAGATACATTTTATACTTAGTTTCATTGCAAGTTGTAAGTGTTTAGAGTATCTAGAGACAGCTAATCGTGTGAAAATCAATTGTTCGTGGCTGCAATATAGGTAAGTAAACGTAGAATTAGAAATAAAAAAGCAGTTTAATGTCCAAATTTATGCACTCTCGAAGTTATGTATTTAAATTAAGCACTGTTAAGTACCTATAACAATTTACCAACATATAAAAAAAATAGAAAAGTTTTTTATTTCTGTTACCTTAAAAAATTCGACTCACGAAGTTTCACCAAAAATGAGATATTATCAACGGCCTTGTCACAAATAATAACAATTTCTTCCGAGAAACCTGTGATGGACAGCATTAGATTTAACTCAAAGATAGCGTGTAGGAAGTAATTGATAGCTGAGCTTTAGCATAATATATTTTTTACACCACATTTATTTTCCAACTGCTCAAAATAATACCAACGACAACATTTTAAGATATAAAAATGTACCTTCCTATTTCATTGCTTGCGTGTTTATTTTATCCCACGCGACGTTTAGTTAGTATTTTGAATATTAGTATTCAAAATCTAAGTAAAATATAAAATTTTCAATTGATGGAAAACTCCTGCATGATAAGATTTGCCACGCTTAAATTTGTGTATTCTTTTAACAACAATCGCATTTGGTACATATCTAATTGATCATCAAAAAAATAGTAACTCATCCTTAAAAAAATACAATTGGCAACCTATCCTATCTTTTAGTACTAACTAATTATATTTTTAGGTAATGAACATTAATATTTTTTTGAGGATCTTATAAATATTTCCCAAACATTTCATTTCATCTCCTTTTTTCTAGAAGTGATTAATATTGATTTAATTTAAGATAGCAAAGTTATATAAAAAGTAATGCAAAACATATTGGATACTATAACAAGTGGACAATATTTATAATCTTGGGCACGGGGCGGTTATGTACGTATTTGTGGTATAATACATACACTCTCATAAATAAAGTAAATGATACAACTCATAAATAAGTAAATGATACACCATCAATAAAAACTAAGATAAGCATGAGGAAGATAGCGCTGATTCTTTTCCATAAACAGACTGCATCGTAACCACTTATGCTGATTTGACGTAAAAGGAAACATGTAAAAGCCTTGTATAATATTTCCTCTCTCGTTATTTTGTCGCCTATGTATTTATTAACTTGACCAAAAAAGGACATGGCCAAGAAACTGCAGTTAACATGTATAATTATTTCACACTAGAACGCAACATCAAAATATTTGTTTATTAATTACTACAAAACTTTCGTGAAATAATCAAATTTTTAAAAGTATAAAACTTGATTTCATATCTCTTCCAAATCTGTTCTAAAACGGAACATTTTCCATGTTAAGTTTTACAAAAATAAACGAATAAGAAATCTATACAAAAGTTCTTTGTGTAAGTATTTCGAAGTAAACAATATTAATTCCTAACAATATTAAGAACTATGAAATACATGTCCCTATTTTTTTTATAACTAATCTCAAAAGGTTTAAAATAATAAATTTTATTTTTCTGATAAGACTTGAGACAAGGCAGTATGAAAATTAATTCTTCGATTTTTGCAAATGAACAAAATAAACTTTACAGATTTCCTGTCAGGCCAAAGGAAAAAAAATCTTTGTGTTTATTTTTTCTTTAAAAATACTTTTTGAGAAGTGTAAATCATAGAAACGGGAAGAAAGGTTAAAAAAAAGCGAAATTGATGGCTCTATAAAAAATTGGCAAAATCTTTTATCAAATGTAGCAAAATAATGACGTTGTAAGAGTTTTCATAATTTTCAGTATTGTAACTTAATTAAAAGTTTCTGAGCCGTTTTTCATAAAAAATGTACATTTTCAGCCATTCAGCTTTAAATATTACCAAGTACAATATTTATACATTGCTAGGGCAGTCTCATACTAAATATTACCATGTCCTTTGCAATATTACTTTCAATTTCACATTCTGTACTTTTGAAAGGATAGCCTAACAAAGAATGAAGATCTGTGTGAACATGGGGATTTAAGAAATTATAGTTACGCATTAACGCTGCATTTACTGAAATCAAACATAAAATAATGGCACGTAGTATTGTTTACCTAAGCTAGAGCATTGCTAGAAGTAAATGAAATTATAAAATAATTAATTGAAAATCGTATATAAATAGTTGAACTTCATTTCATGAATCTTTCACTCCGAGGGCTCCCTACATACTTGTAGGTATACAAATAAATTATTGTTAATCGTGGGAATCGAGTTAGGAATTATTTAAAGGTGCGGTCGTGGTGACAACCAACGGCAAATTAATCGCAAAAATGTAACTACAATATTACCTGTTTTGTGTTTTAATACTTTTCCTGCGCTATATTACATTGCTTCTTGCTATAATAGTATCAAGTTTCTAGGTCAACGAGAAGTACCCTATAGATTGTCATTACCTTGCGAGCGCCTTTAACGGAGAATAAACAGCCCTATCTTTTGATTTCGTTGACAATCAAGTATAATTTTTTGCTCTGCTCCAAAGTATTACGTACATTTAGTATTACCTTAAGTTTGATACTTCTACGCGTTACTAAGACAAAAAAAGGCAGTTAGCAGATGAACAGAAAACAAGGTGATCCTTTAACGGTTCTGTTTTTTTTGAGGTACAGAACTTTAAAATTGAGTCAGTAATAAGCTGACTCATAATCTATATCTTCAGCTTACATTGGTGGACGCCTGCGCAAGTTCCCTTTTGAACTCGAAACCATGATGACGATGAAGGATGTGGGGTTAATGTACTGGGGGATGAAGATCAGTAGCATATGTCTTAAAAGTGTTCAAAATGACATTTATTAATATAAAATCTAGTTTTATCCACCAAATCAAACTCTTAATCATTTCAATTAAGTATTTACTTGTATTCGCTCTATGCATTGTGTTTGGTAGTGGGAGAAAAGTGGGAGAAATATTGATGTTATTGCTTAGCTGAGACTGTTTTAATAGTAATCTAAATTTATTGAATATTTTTTAATTACAGTGAAGGAAAACGTAATAATATGTATTTTTTTTAAACTAAATTGACACGTTTTGAATATTATTATAATTTTATTATTCTAAATTACATTTCAAATGCCTAATAATAATAAAGTAACAGAAATATTTATTGAAATCGACAATATTTGTCAAAATTACTTAAGCCGGTTTCTGATTTAAGAGACACCCGTATTCATTGCTTTTACTTGAATGTACTTTGTAATTTTCTAAAACACTGTATACGAGTATCAACCCTTCAATCCATTTGCCAGTATTTTCGTCCGTGACATCATCGGTGCATGCCACAGACGACGACAGCACAATTTCCATTATTAAAGCTAAGGGCGAGTTCTTTAGCCTTTACAAGTTCAAATATTTGACTCGGTTCTCTCAACAAAATAATGCAATCACACGCAAACAGTTAACCACAACTTTATAAGTTATCGGTATAAATATGTATTATATTTTATAAAGATATAAGCTCACTCACGCTTTTTTTGGAGCTCAAGCGTTTCCTCTTCAATGTAAAATTAAACATTTTGTTATCATTCCTTTTCTCACTCATGTTCATGTTTAAAACACACAACAACTATCACATTGTATCCACAACATGTAGACGCATCCTTACGATAAATGAACTCGCACATTAATGTGCGCAAGAGTCGGCGGAGGGTGACCCTGCCGTGACACTCAGGCGCCAGGCAATAAGTCCCAATCACAACGACGACAGCTCTCCGAGTCCGTCTGAACGTTATAATTACTTCCGTCCTTTTATCGAAACATATTGTCTCACTCTAATTCGATTAACAATTAACAGTTGAAGTACTTTAAACGTTGACGTCGATGTTGACGGAGGGTCAATAAGGAATGCATTGTTGAGGCCGCTAGTTGACTAAACTGACTGGTCTGTTTTTACTTTATCTACTTAAGACAACTTGGTTAATACCTTTGATCTTTACTGCGATGGTCGGCAATATTTTACCAGAACAATGGCATTACTTACCGTGTGACCTTTGGTATAGATTGTTTTTTTTTAATGCGATGCATTTATCTACTTATTTTGCAATGGTTTTAAATGAAAATCGATCGTAATTGATTGTATTCAATGAAACCGTTGGCCTACTTCCACCGCCGAGGGTCATCAAAGGGAGCATTAAAGATGTCAATCACTGTAAGAAGCTCTTTAATCAGCTACGAGATTTCTATTCATGGACCTACTCTACGAGTCAAAACGTGAACTGACTGGCACCCAGACATTTCAAGTTTATCCACCCAAATATTTTCATTAATGTTGTAATAACTCTATCACATTCGGAAGCATGATTGAAATAAACAGTTATTTCGTTAATTGATGAAACATGATACTGTTATTGCAAATGACAATTATTATATGGCACTGCATTCGGCACGTTTGTGTGAGTGTTGAGACTTGAAAATAAAGTGTCCCTTATTCGTTTATAGGAAAAATATTTTATATCTTTTAATCGGTTTTTAATATTATACTTAGAACGTAAGTTAATTTTTTTTAACAACTATTATTTTTAAGTGTTCTTGACCATATTTTTTTAATGCAGTCGGGGAAATTGTTTTGTAATGAGAAGATGTCCATAAAAATCCCCCGGCTGTAAGTATTAAAAAAATAGTCTGACATTCCTATTCGAAAAAGTAAAATTTATATTTTTTACTTTTTTGTTCAGTTATTTTTGACGGCTGTCGTGTTTTTAATTTTTATACATAGGTACTTAACTTTATAGAAATATGAACCTTACCTGGTCAGAATTGGTAACATTAAATGTCTAGCATCATTGATAATATTAATCTGAACATCTAGGGTTCTTGATCAGCTGCGATGAAAGTAGAACGCGACTTTAGCGATACGGCAAAACGTGATATTTAGGCATCGAGTTACTTGATCGCAATATGATACGTTACGGAACAACGAGTTTACGTATTTCTATGAATTTATTATTGAAATTATACTCACAAGTATTAGTTAAGAATAAGTTTATAAAATATTACGGGCATGTTGATACAAATCCGGAATCTCTCAGCTTTTTAATTATTTGCTGCCAAACGGGCTGGCAGTCTACGTGATGAGAAGTGCTCACTGCCGCCAATTAACACTTGCAGCACCAAGAATTGCCGGCTCTGAAGGTAAAGGTTTACCCGCCTTTTGATCTGTCCTTGTAATCTTTTATCCCTTTATTAATAAACAAAGACTAAGCTTGGAGCAGTTACTCTATGTTTTGTCTTCTTTCAATGTATGACAAATGGCACTTGATTGACATGAACAAAACACGGCGTAACTAGTCTAAGCTTATTTCTCATTTATTAATAAAGAGGTTACTTCTGAGTAAAACTTATATGAACAATATTTCTTTAGAATAGGTTTTCTGTTTTAAATATTAAGCAGTTAGATTTTGTAATCTTCTAATTTATAATTTTATTATTGTCACTCATAGGAATGTGACAAAGATAAAATAAATTCGTGGTCTGTTAGCAACCTCTGAATAAGAGAAGTCGGGTTTCACTATTCATTTAAATAAATATCACAATACTAAAGGAGTTGATAACGTCACGGTCACAACAATATAAATTAACAACAAAACAAACAAAATATAATGCAGTAAATCTCAGAATACACACAACTGCAAACCAAAGCCGAGTGAAACGATAAGAAATGATAAACAAGTCATATATGTATACGATAAGGTCGGCCAAAGAACTGTTTGAAATTGTAGCTAAGTAATTTAAAGAATGGTAATCTTACAAAATAATTTACCTAGTTCATCATCAGCCATCATACCCATTTATATCCCCACTGTTAGGGCACAGGCCTTCCCTATAGATGAAATAGGGAGATTGGGCCATGTTAACAACGGCATATGCAGCCAGGGCAAACGGCTTTTAACGTGCCTTCCGAAGCACGAAGGAGCTCGAGATAGCAATCACATTCACATTGGCCTCTTTGAGATGTCTCGGAGATCCGAGGTAGGTATTTCGCCCGTTATGCACGCGGACGCTCTGTTGTAATCCAGCAGAACGCGAAAAGCTGCTTCTTCTGCGTCCATGTATCATCTTCCTATGCAGAGACTGTCCGTGTCACCTAGTTTCAAAAGATGTCTGTTGCCGGGATCATTCCAGCCAACCCATCTAGCAACCTAGCTCGGCTTAGAAGCATGAGGCGCCCTAATCACCAATGTGAAGTTATTAGTTCTTGGGCGAGCTGGGCTGGATGAAAGGACCCCGGCAACATACCCTCCAAACACAAAACAAGAGCCATAAGGAAGTTAGGTTGCGAAAATGCCTGTTGCAAATTAGAAACAAAATATCTGGCGGTCGAGTTATCTGCAAGCAGGGACAGAGCGGCTACCGGCGGGTCAGCGTCCGCGGGGGATACCGCACGCCCAGCGCACGAGGCGCACCGCGCAGCTTCACTCACAAATGTGAATTTACTGATTCTTGGGCGAACTGGGCTGGCTGGAATGACACCAGTAGGGTTGCAACGATATATCGGAATATCGATAATATCGAGGCCAAAATATCGATATTTATATCGATATTTAAAATTCACTGATATCGATAATATCGATATCGGAAATTCCAAAATATCGATATTTCGTAGACTAAATTTAAACACAATAATATCAATTAATTTACCTGCTATGACTATCTAAATTGAATAATATCGAAATAACTATTGCTTTGAAATCGCAAGAGCTTATAGATGTATTAAAAAAATCTTGAACCCCAAGAAATATACTAAACTGGTGTGGATTCTGGCATGATTCTCTCAACCTAAAATTTAATTTAGTTTTAAGTTTAGATAATCATACCAGAATCGACACCAACGTATATAGGTATAATCGTATACCTAATGGTAACTCCTGCACTTAAATAAAATCCTTGCCTCTTTTTCTAGATAATTGTCAACTACTGATTAATTGAAATTAAATATCATTGTAATATAACACAAAATAAAATTAAGAATCTTATACAAATCGTAATTTTTTAAGCTCGCCAAGTCAAGAAAGTAAGATAGGTATAGTAATTTTTCAAGCTTTGGGCTTACCCTATTCTGAAGCCATGGGCTCAGGCATCAGGGGCGTTCCTGATGTGTGGGAGACTAAGCAATTTGCGTATTTGATGTGCGCTAAAAAACCGACATAGTTTGGAAAAGCACGAATGTAGTGAAAACTTAGCGAAGGCATTCGCAAATGTCGTCCCACATATGCGGGTTGGCGCATTCGTGCTAACAAATGTGAGTGATCTGATCAGGATAATAATTTTAATTTTTGGTTTTCTGTCGTGGCTGAAACACAAACCGCGCGAGCAAAAAAAAAACCCTGCTTGGCGCGATTTCATCAAGCGTGTTTAAAGAAAAAGCTGGCTCAATGCATTTTGCGAGAAATTTGCCAACAAACATATGAATGTGTCACACTCACCCCGTATTCTAATGTCAATAAAAAAAAGAAAAAAATATCGATACATCGATAATATCGAGTTAAAATGGTCGATATATCGGATGTCGATATTTTCCTGACTTCGATATAAATATCGATATAATATCGATATTTCAAAAGACTTTGCATCCCTAGACACCAGTAACATACCCTCTACACGTAAAACAGGAGCCATAAGGAAGTTGAGTTGTGAAATGCCTGCTACAAAAAAGAAGAAAATATATCTGGCGGTTGAGTTACCTGCAAACAGGGGCAGAGCGGCCACCGGCGGCGCAGCGCATGTGGCATCTTCTTGCGGGGCGGGTCGGCGTCCGCGGGGGGCTCACCGCACGCCCAGCGCACGAGGCGCGCGCGCGCAGCCTCCGCCGCCTCCAGCCCGCGGGACCACGACGGCAGCCCCTGGGGAACAGAGCAAAACTGTTACTGTCTTGCCACCAAAAGTTTATTTTTATGTTAAAAGGGTGGCAACAAGCATATAGCCTGACGCCTGATGGTAAGCGGCCACCATTGCCTCTAGAATCTTGTCATGAAAAAAGATCACTGGCGTCGTTGCCTACCCTGACCCAATCCCCAGGACACAACCAAAAGGTAGTGTTATTTTACTTTGATCTTCTGTGAGGTGGAGTTTACTTCCCCAGATGGGTTAATTCGAGCGGCAAATCCGCTATGCCCTATCTCTCTTATCGGATGTTAAACAAGAGTTTGAGATGAAGAAGTAAAATAAAATCCGACGAATTAAGAACCAACTGCGGTTTTGGACGTCGGTTGATATTTTGTATAAGCATGGTTTTTAACAATGTCTAAACTATTTTGTGGGACAAACTTCAATTTATATTCTTACATTAGATGGCCAATTCTGCAAAAAAAATATAGCAATAAGACATTTCATTATTACACAACAAGGAAGATGAATGTTCTCAAATAAGAACACCCGTTTGGGGAAGCAGAATACGGCAGCCACATACGGTAGTGTTGTGTTCATGCAGAAAGATTGTCAGGGTTACACGGCAAAAAAGACCGGAAATACCTATTACTATGTAACAGAGTTGTACGTTGCAGATATCCGATTGTATCAGCCGCTTACTATCAGAGAGGCATATTTATTTACCACCCTCTTGATGACAAAAATATACAAAGGTCAGCATAATTATCTTCCTTATTCTTGTGGTGAGAGCGATATTTATAGTTTTGTTGCTCGAAGAATACTGTTGAAAAAATATGATTGTACCGTAAGGCCCACAAATAAATGAAAAATAAAAAGAGAAATATTAATTTCACAATAAAATCAAAAATGTTTTATGATTATGGTATGAGCACACTCGGTGTGAATGGTGTTCAAATATGAACTAAAATTAATAAATTATAAAGAAAATGAGCGCACAATAAACTGGGTCCATAAGTAAACTGATGACCAGGCGCTATGATACGAGTTGAATGCACTGTACTTCGTATAGTTCCTTGCTTAACGCTTCATGATTATGGTAAACGTCTTTTTAACTTGGTTTAAATAGCAACTCACGCTGCCCTGATAAATTTATCATTTTTTTATGTTGCGTAATTTTCATTGGACACACAAAGATCAACAAAATGAAGACTAGCATTAATACTGTTCGGTGCAATAAGGGCGCGTTTATATGACTCACAATGTCACAGCGTGGCGGCCGGGCCGCGCGGTGACAGTACGGCGACGGCACGGCGGCCGCGCGGTCACCGCACTGTGGCCGCGTAATAACTGTTCAGTCATAGCTGATTTATGTTTTATTAACTAGGACTTAACGTTGAAATTATTTGTGAGTAACTAACTGCGCAGCGATCGCGCGGCCGCCGTGTGATCGAGGAGTGGACGCCACGTCGTCTCTGCAGCCTAACCCAACATTTACATTTTGCATATTTGCAATAATTGATACCGTCACGGCGCCTGGCCTAATTTAGGTCATTAGCCGCGGTGCACAGCGAAAAATATAAATTAGTGTAGATTATACTTTTACCTATACCACGGTTATATTATCTATATTATATAATATTACCGTGCCTATACGGATGCACTCATTAACATAATAACATTATTGTAGTATTTTTAAGAACATTTGTGAACAAGTAATAATTACGTAGTTTTCAGTAACAATTTTATCATTTCAACATCCACCAAACTCAGGCACTAACTAATACTTATAGTTCAAAATAAGTAACAAATTAACGATATGTCGGTTACCTGACGTGACTTTATATAGACTTGTGCAAAAATTCAGAACCACAAATCTTTTATACGGTTAATTACGGTTTGACGACCTCCGTGACCGGGTGGTTTGTACACCAGGTTTCATGGTGTCGCCAACTCGAGTGGTCCCGGGTTCGAATCCCGGTGGGGGCAGATGTTTGTGTGATAAATACGAGCATTTGTACTCCAGTCATAGAAGTTTCATATGTATTTCTATATAAATCTACTTATATATGTACAGTATATGTATTCTATCCGTTACCCTAGTATCCCATAACACAAGCCTTACAGTGTTTACATTGGGGCTAGGCTAATTGGTGTAAGTGTTGGAAATACTTATTTGTTTATTTATTTATAATTTAAAATATTTAGTCATGTATACTCACATGATTCGAATATCATTATTTTTTATTATGCGTAAAGTGATGAACTGTTGGTTTTTCAAAAAGTTAATAAACAAATAGATGAAACAGTAAGTTGAATATGACGTCATCACTCATAACTATAGCCCTACTTCTACTTGTTCATTCATGACGCGTTCGCGTTCATGCAACTAAGATGCACATCATGCAAGCATGCAGCTAAAGAGATGAAGATAACGCAGTCGCAGTCAGGGACACGGGCGTTATAGCGGTAGCATTGTAAACACGCGATTTTATAAACACCAACACCGATGACGCAACGTCCGTCCGCGTCTTCGTTAAGTTTACGGTAATCCGACAGCAAGAGTGAAATGGTATGGCCTCACTGCCGACATAGTCGCATAGAATTAATATGTATAAGCAAACAAGATGATGGAAAAGCGAAAACGCCTAAACTTAAACTTTCTTACGGTTGTGATGTAACGAATCGCTGTAGGAAGCGTCTCGGATTACATCGCCCCGATGTAAATCAAGTCGATATTCTAGAAATCCACATTTGTGACACTTATAGTGACTTTATTCACTTTAGATTGATCGAAAAGTAATATAAATTAACATTGGTATTATTTAATACGATTTTATGAGCTTTTTCGATGGCTGAATTTTTTTTTCTTTAACGCAAAATCAAACCCTTGGAAAGGACTTTCAGTTAATTAAAATGCTGTTACGCAAAATTTTAACACAGCAATTTCTTATTGATTACGTAGCAGTAAAAAATATTTTCTGCTTACGAATAACCGAATTAAGTAATCATGAAATGTATTTCAAAAAAAGATTAATTATGTGGCAAATTACTTAACATGATCAAACTCCTATCTGCACTTTTAAAATGAAAAAATATGTTACTTAATATTTTGCGTTACTAGGAAAATGTTTATGACATCAAACATGTGCGTTAAATACTTCTATTCACATTATTTAAATAAATACGTAATACGAATGATAATGAAAGATACAAAACATTGAATAACCTTTAAAATTTTCAGAATTACAAAACAAAGAACGACTAAAACATAACATTTACACAAGGAATTAAAAACACCATGTGATAAAGTTCAATCGAAGTCTGCTGAGGCAGTCCTCAGCTGCTGCGGTAGTTGCCGAAAAACTGCAGCAGCGATGATAGTCTGACAGCGAGAACACTAACGATAAAGGAATTTAGGATAAAAATCACATCATAACACGATGCAACTGACAATGAAAACATAAATGTAAGTACCACAATAAATATGTATCAAGGTTCTTTTAAACTTTGCCTCTAATGGGGTGAACAGGGGTAATTTTAATTGGAGAGTATTTTACTACGGGTCTTGATTAAATCGGAAAACGGCTGAACGAATTTAGATAAAATAAGGCACAAAAATAGCTTATTATCTGAATCCTAACAGGATAATTTTGATCCCGAAAAAATCTTATGTTCTTTTTCGATTCTAAAAAAACTAAAGTTAAGGTGACCAAAATCGCGGGCGGCCGCTAGTACAAATAATAAAAGTAATAAGGCATTTCATTATTAAGATATGGTATAATCGATAAAAAAAAACGAATAACATATGAAACTGTACCATTGTCATCATTTCTTAAGGCTAATTAAATCCCACAGAGAGGTATGATGATTAGTTTTGATAAATTGTTCGGTTTCAACACCCTATTGCTGGCGCTTGCACAGTGTTCACTTGAACTTTACGCTCGACATTTATCGAAATGTGATTGAGATACAAACGATAACTTCCAAATACCCGATCTTTCTTCTTATACGCAGTTTTGGAGTGGAACCTGTGGAGTATCCATTTGTGCGCGTATACAAAGACCACCGCTCCAATTGTTGCAAAACAAGTACTTATTGGACATTTTGCAATACGTTGCATAGATAGATTATATGGTAAATGTCCTAAAATGTATATAATGGTCATGTTTCCCAATATCTGAATCATGTACTATGTAATTAAGACAAATTAAGACAATCTTTGTTATTGAATCACAAAACTGCAAGCAAATAATGTCACATTATATAAATGGCGGAAGCATTAACGGAGTGCCGACAGAAGCAAAATGTAAACAAAAACATATAACAAAAAGAATCTCAAAAAAATGCCTCGATTAAAAAAAAATTTGGACTGTCGGGTTCAATCTCAAGACCTCTTGCACTCGAAGGCGCTATTGTTACATTAGACCAAGCTCTACTAACAACGTTGGGTAAAATTAAAATATATGTCAACAGAGGTGTCGGTAAAAAACCATCAAACACGCGATTCTTTCCCATCTCAAAAATGCCCAACGCGCCTAACAAAGTTTTCACATCAAAAATTACAGTTACCTATGCCTTGAAGAGACAAAAGATGAAAAAACGCCGCAATCAAAAAACGAGATCCAGCAGGTAGGTAAATGACATTCCGCAAACATGTTTTCTAGTTGAACTAACAACAACAATAGTCGGGGACCAAAACAAAAGTACAACGAATGCAACAATGGCGATACGGACGCATAGTCGGTCGGTTGTCTGATATCGTACTTTCTTGTGGCCATGAACGTGATCGCAGTATGTCAACGGGTCGGCATCAGCAGCGGTCGCACGTACCAGCCAGCCACTAGGATGTGTGGGTGAAAGTGAACTCGCGTGCACAGCCGGCTCGGTACTTAACCGGGACCCACTTGGCTCGTAGGTGTACTCTACTCGACCACACATTGTGGAGAATGCTGCTAGATAAAGTATAAACAATATTCACGGTCCTAAAATAATATATTTGTTGTGGGTTGAGTTA